AATTTCGGTGAACCTGTGGATGTGGAATTAAACACAATTTGTCACACCTATGGGTGCACACTAAGACCCCATTTAACATGCAATCTGCCTTTAGAAATCCTATCTAGGTAAGACAAAACGCATGTTATTGCAGCTGTAAATACAAGCAGAATGCAGGTGGTCGATTGCTTCCTTCGACTTGGGTCCATTGACTCTGCCTGCCTGATTTGCATATTGAGATTCGATCGCAATGCAGGCAGAATCCCGACAAGAATAATCCTCATTAATACCAGGTGTGAATGAAAATGGCGTGTAAATGGGGCCTAGATTTATGCTGTGCACCCACACACTCACACTCTTTCTAGCGACTGGGAAGGAAAAAGGCAGCGTCTACCCTCACTGCAGAGTGGCAATGAATGTTTCCAGGTTTACTTTCATTCATAAAACCTTGCTCACATATGGGACATTTATAGTTGGTTTGGTTAGGTGGCACAGTAAAGATGTGCCCTGGCTCCTCCTCCCTCATCATCTACTGTATGTAAAAGACAGCAGCTGTAGTCTATCGGCCAAGTCACGGCAAGAATTTCTTGCTCCAAATCTGACAGTGACCGTCCCATAAGACAAACATATTGTGTGGTCTACTGTAGTGCAGCACTAACCTGGGTATTTGGATGGAGTTGTTTCTTCCCAGACGATATGATATGATGTTGACTGGCACAAGATATTTTTTTTTTACCTTTACATACATTTTCCACTTCATTTTGTTTCCCTTACCTTTCCTTCCTGCTGATATGCTTAATTTGTCTTCACCTGTGTCCTCTCCATCTTTTCTACTCTCTCATACATAACACATACATCCTTTCACATTGCATATGGCTTTATCCTTTTATTTACAACTTCCTTTTACCCCTTGCTTATTAACATTCCCACATTCAGCCGTTTTTACTCTCACTTATTTGTTTTACCTCTGTCCTGTTTCTTATTCCCTTTACCGTGTCCCTGTTTAATCCCCGTGTCTCCCTCATAAAACCTTCTTACCCCTCTTCCCTCACTTATTCCTTTTACCCTTGTCCCTCTGCTCCTTCGTATTTCCATTTCCCTGAGCTGATTCCCTTGTCCCCTCGCTTAAAGCCTGTTGTATTCCCTGTCTCTCTTCTCATCCGTTTATCACTGGCCCTTGTTCTGTTAATCCCCGAGGGTTTTGTTTATTTGTGTTGGAGCTGCTTTTACAGCTTGCGACTGACCCCACCTATTTTCTCACCAGTCATTTGAACAGCAGGGCTGCTTTGCAGCTACTCCAGCAATTAACATACCATTAGCATAATATTTGCATGTGTGCATTAGGGTGTTGATGGGGAGAGAAAATAACAGTTTTACAGGTTTTTTTTTTCTTGTCTCAAAAAAATATATATTTCATGGAGTGACGTAAAAGCGCCCACAGGCTTCTTTATCTCCCTTTGATACTGCTGCTCAGTGAGCGACATCATGTTTTCAAGTTTGTTGTGAAAAGTTATGTGGCTCTTGTGTGATTGGCCCACCTACACGGTAACATCTGTGATTATCACTTCTGCTCTTCTAATTTGTTATATCACGATTATGTTTTGATCAATCTGTCAATCTTTTTAGCTCTTTTTAAAATAAATGAGGAAAACAGTGCTCGGATCATTTCTGCAAAACACAAAAAGACAGACGTTTTGTGAATGTGTATTTCATGTGTAGGGAAATGTTCCAGTGACACTACTATTGAACTAGGTAAGTAAAGTCAGATCACTGAGGTCAAAGGTCAAGAAGAGAGGAGAGTAAGAATGCAACCAAACACAGAGGAAGGCTTATGAATGAAAGACACACATCATTGACAAAGAGACACAAGAACAACACTCATGGGCCCAACATGCAGATATATGAAAGGAAATAAACAAATTCATTCGTTTTGATGGAGACAGACAGGCAGAGAGGGGTGAAAGTAGGCCAGCTCCTGCCGCCGCTGATGAAGCCGGTGAATGTTTCATGTAGAGAGTGGCGGTTGAGCAGAGGGGCGACGTGTCAGAGGCGTCGAGCCAGTTTCCCAGTCTTGATTGGGGATCAGCCCTCGGGCCTCGCTGTTCCGCCGCGTGCCACGCCTGTCCCTCACACACCGCCGCTCTCAGATCTGTCACATTAGGGCCGTCGCTCAAACACTGACGCCGCTTTGTGATTGTTTGTCTCGTGTCATGCTGATTACTTTGCTCATTGAAACCCCACTGGAGGAAGAGAGAGGAAGTCACACCCAGCAACGAGGCTAATATCCGCTTGGTCATCGGCCACGTTTTCTTAAACCCGCCCAGTCACATCGAGGCTCGTCTCGTGTTGCATCAACCCTTCTCTCCTCCAGGAACAACAGATGCCAGATACAACCGATTGAACATAATCTGTCCTGTTTGTATTTAAGACACAAGGACTGAGCAGTGCTGTCATGTGATAATGTGATATGTGCTACATGTGAACTGTCGCACATTAATCCTACGTGTAAAACTACTCACACTTAAATCATGGGAAATAAAGTAACTGGGTGGCCATCTGCCAAAATGATAAAAAAATAAAATATATTTCATATACCATATGCTTGCATATCTCAATTTTATTTTGCATCTCAGCATCTTGTTACTTTATTTTTATGGTTTGAGTGCAGGCACTTTCTGATATGGGATTACTTTATGGACTCTTAATGCATCAGACACCTAATATTAATGGCCAGGCACAGAGCCTCTTCTCACATTTTTTAGCATCATTGAGAATGAGGGACGACTGATGAAATATTTGAAAAATTTTGCAGCTTAAGTACTTTGCTGAAATCATTTTTATGAGACTTTTATGATCGCCTTTTTTTTCTGGTGTAATGATGCTGCAGTTTGTGTATACATTAGTATGTTAGAGGGGGGATTAGCTTTGCTGCCAGAATCAAAGATGAAAGAATAAGAAACAGCGCTAGCAGATAAACACGTATTTGTAATAATATGTGGTTTTGGGGCTTGAATTAATAATTATAAGCCTTTTTGCACTTCTATTTGCCACCGGAATCAACTAGACAATAATGGATTATTATGGAGCCTCAATTCAGGCTTTTTATTATTTTTTTTAAATATAAAACCATATTTAAACTAGTTTTCTTTATATTTTTGCACATCATAACCCAAGTATTGATTAAAGGGAGTTTCCCAGTGTCCTGCCTTTGCTGTTTGTATTATGTCTGCAGCAGTAAAAGCTTAAAAAATATAAAAAAACATGTTGCAATATAGTCAGATTTTATTCTAATACCATGGTTCATATTTTTAATTCCACTTTGCAACTCTGTATGGGTGTGTGTGTTTAGTCCTACCTCCTGCATTGTGAAATGTGTGCTCTCGCAGTATAAATGCAGTTATATATAATATCTAGCAGGCCTGTTGGCCCCGGCTGCTCTGCTGCACTCAGCTCTCTAACTGCTCTTGTCTCTGTATAATCCCCCCTCCTCATGAATACATTAACGCCGGAGCCTTAAACTCAGCTTAGCTGGCGGCTCAGCGTCACAGCACATCCTATTACCGACTTTAAATCATTAATGTGACATCGTTTTCACTCAATTTCCAAACACCCACGGTCGAAAACTGCATATTTCACCGAGCCGGCGCAGAGAGAGGGCCGCGCTCAAAGTCACACAGTTGAGCATACGCATGCGCAGAGGAGGCGTTCTGACAAACAGATTTTTTTTCTGTGGGATTTACACAAACAGAGAAAGTTAGAGCAAATTAAATCTTATTGAGAATATGCACAGCATAATACGAACAGGCATTCAAATGTAAATCTGTAATAGTTTTCACTCCTTTGTCTCAACTATTGTGATTGAAATAGCCAGTGGATAATTGTGGTTTAAGCTGAGCTAACTCCTACAGTACACCTTAGGGTGTGTGTGTGTGTGTGTGTGTGTGTACAGTAAGTATGTGTGTGAATCTAGCCACCGTTTGCTTCCTCCAGCGTCTCGTGTACTGCTGACAATAAAGGAAAAAGAAAAATCTGAATCCCCTTTCTTGCTCTTCAACTATTCACACATAAACCTTTTCTCAGGTTTTTACCTTCAGGCTACCTCTGAAAAATTCACAACGCCCAGAGAACTAAGTCCTTCACTTACCGTAGGAGTTGTGGATCTGCCCCCATCGTGCCTCTTTATTGCATCAAAAGGGCTTTTTTTGTGTGAAGCTATGGTAATTAGCAAACCCACTGTAACTCATCTCCTCGGAGTGCATTTAACTGTTTTATGCGCAAAGCATCAGAGCGGGCGGTGGGGGTTGATTGCTGGAACATATGGACACAGATGGGGAGAGCATTTTAATGGGTGCACTGAGTGGGGTTTTGTGTTTTTAACCCTTGAAAGTGGAGGCATGAACATCCTCAACATCCTAAAGCGAGCATCAATCTTAGATTTGCTTTTAAAAATCGGCGACAGCACACAGGGCGGCTGGCATCTCGGCGCTTTTGACAGGGCTTAGTTGAGGCGGTCAGTGGTCACCAGCCTTCCCCTTCTTTTTTTTTGGTTGTGTTTTTGGTGAGTTTGCACGTGTGTGCACACACAACACACACACACACACACACACACACACACACACATTTCATCACTCACTCCCTTCCTCCTTCCATGTCCCTTGTTGTGCTTAATTAGGTTATCAGGTTGCTAACGGGCCGTGATTCGGCTCCGAGTCTCCCAGCTGGCCCTCTGATTGGAGGGGCAAGAAGGTGGACTTAGCATAATTAACACGTTTTTATGGAGATGATTGAATTGTTCGGTGACACATGGGCAGTGCCACTGCCGTGATGGCTCACATTGTGTCGCTGAGCGGAGGACGGAAGACGTTGAAGACTTTTTGAGACAAAAACAAAACACAGGTGGAAAACACCAGAATAGATTTTATATGTATCACCTGTTCATAATGTGAACTACTGACTGAACTCAGTTCAGTTCCACACTTTGTACACATCTACTCATCCATTTATCTTTTTTTTTTTTTTTTAATATCACATAAACAAGCGTGGATGCATTCAATCTCCTCTCCACCGATGATATTTCTGCAGGTTTTGCTGGACCTTTTAAACAACGAGCACATGGCGGTGTATATTTGTATGTTTATGTGAATATGTTGGAACTGTAAAGCCATTGTGTGAATGTATGTGTGGAAGAAAGAAGTGACCAGGACCAGCACAAGTTTTACCGAACACATTGCTGTCTTTATTAGAGCCTTGTCTGGCAGTAATACTGAAAAAAAAAGTGAACTTAGAACAGATGGTGGTGGCAGCCCACGGCTTTTTTTTTTTCCTGTTTTTCTTTATTTCTTTGATATTTTTCTTCATTTTTTTTGTGTGCGAGTACTGCGACTCTTGCTTTTCTGTGGCATGGATAACATCAATAAAAGAGACAGTAGGGAGAGAAAAAAGAAATATACAACTTATATTACACTGTGTTATGAACAAAATATAAATCTATAACTCTATGTTATATTTACATAATTATCTTTCTTGATTTTTCAAGTTGAGATGGTAAGATATTTTTTTTAACTAATAATTCTTACTTTGTTTTGAGCTCCACTCATGACTTTGATTGTCTTAAATAATATCATCATCATCATCATTTTCATTGTCTTGATATGGGGACAGACCTTGCCAGCAGGGATGATTGACGTCTTAATGCCCCACCCACCCACCTGATACCCTAAAAATGGATTGATCCACTTAGTCCCCTCTCAGCCCCCTCTCTCCAGCATTGGGTTGAACCATGGCATGATAACAGGGGTGACTATACAGCAAAATTAGGACCCAGAGGCTCATTGTGTGGCATGTAGCGAACATCTACAGCGAGAATGATTGTGGGGATCACTATGTGGCAGCACACCTGAAGAGTAGTCATGGCTCTCGTCGCGTGGAGCTCAAACAAAGCAAAGGGCTCCTGATGAGAAGTGACTTTAAAGATACTGTAGATACGCCTGGTCCGTCTCACACACAGTGGAACACCCTTGGTGGATCAAGGTAAACACTGCTTTCCTATGATTTAAAAAGAAAAAAAACCCAACAAACTAAATATATATACAGGATTTTAAATCTAGAATTCTAGATTTTCAAGAAACAGAAGAAGGTCAGCATAGGATTTGTTTGGTTGTCATGATAATCTCTTCATTTTAAATGTGTGTGTGTGTGTGTGTGTGTGTGTGTGTGTGTGTTAGTGATTGTGTTTGTGCATGTGTATACTGTGTGTGTGGATCCAAGCCAAAGATGTTCCACTGTGCCTCGGTGAGGTGGCCAAACTAGTAAACGGGGACGGGACTCTTTGTTCACAGAAAACAGTTTCCAAAAGTGATAAAACTGATTTCCAAAAATAAACAAAAACAAAAAAGAGCAAAATAAAAGAGAGGAAACTTCACATTATACATTATAATAACCATTACAAATAAAATTATAATAACAATAAAAAAAATCATGTTCTTCTTTTTCTCTGACTGCACAGAGTCTGAGTGCTTTTTAGAAATGGGTTTGGACATGAAAAGGTTATGTCTTCAGCTCGGAGGAGGGCTGGCGTCGAGTCTGTCAGTCCAGCTCACTGTCCTAACTCCGCCCGCCCACCCGTCCGGAGGATTAATACAAAACGAACGCCAAAAAAGAAGGGAACATAAGAATGCAAAACAAAGCAAGGTAAAATGACAACTTTTGTTTAGATCTAAATACCTACCAGCTAAATAGAATAATGTTTCATTGACTGTCATAGTTTCATATGGTCATAAAAACCCGATAAAGAGGAGAAAAATAAATTATACTGTACATAACTTACTAAACTTAAGAAACGCTGACCATCCTTATAATTATTGTTAATAATATTATTAGATTAGAGGCAGTTTGAAGAGAAATAATAAAATACAGTATTCAAATACAAACAGAAACACTGACTGGCTGACTTCACCTCGGCTCCGCCCACTGGGCACAGCAGGACGATGTTGATTGGAGGGAGCAGGAAAACACTGAGGGACAGAACAACAGTTGTGTGTGTGTGTGTGTGTGTGTGTGTGAGTGTGTGTGTGGTACAGTAAGTAACAGCAGCAGTGTACGTTGCCTGTCTTTCTGTATCCTAAACTTTTTTTGTTTGTTTTTTTTGCCTTTTTTAGATAGATGTGACGCACATGTGCAAACAGCCTATGGATGAGTACACACGGCACACCGACACACACTCACACCGTCGGATGTTTCAAGCTAAAGTCGTACTGATGTTTTGTCCTGGACGAGATTGTGATAAGAGGGACGGAGCAGGAAGAAAACTGGTGGATTGTCTCACAACACAGTGCTTTCGTTTCTGCTCCAGGATGCCAGAGAGACTCCCCTTCTCCCCCACTGAAAATCCCTCAAAGTGGGACAGTCCACGCTGTACTGGTCAGTCCTGACTGGACCGTCCCATCGGATTCCAAATAAAGGGGGGGGGGGGCGGCAGTCCCAAAAACACAGAGAAAAAGGGGGCAAACCGCTGACAGCACACTGCGAGGTCGAAGAAAAGATATGTTCTTGTTAAAAATAAACATGTCTGATGTCTTTCAGGTGCTTTACAACAAAAGGGGGAAAAAAGAAATGTCTCTTTTTTCTATTATTATTCAAACTTGTAGCACAAAAACAACAAATCACATTCACAAGCCACTTATTGGCACCGTGTACCTGAGTGAGAATATTATAGAACCAAAGAACAAAAAAAGCTGTTTTTTTAAAAAGTGTCTCTTGATAATAAACAGGTCCGCCATCTTAAAGTGTCATCTGTTAGCCTTTGACAGGTCCACTGTTCCGCCTTTCGTTTTAAAATGTCTCCTTTTTCTACAAACGGGTCTAAAAGGTTGCTTTCTGAGTGTGATTTTTATTTCTCCTCACTCGTGGCATTACACTCAAACTCTTGCAGTAGTACTCGAATATTCCTCAGCAAGCTTAGGGCTGGCTTGGTCGTCTCTTCCTCCCAGACTCCAGTTTGTGTAACAGTCAGTGTGAGTGACAGGTCCTGTGCTTCAGTTGATTGATCAGATGCTGGTATCAGGACTCCAGTGGGAGGAGGGTTGCGGGTCTGGCTCTGTTAAAAGAGTCCATGTTAGTTATGAGGGGGACAGGGGGGTGGGGGGGTTATGAGATTGGGACACAAGGTGATTGGCAAAAGAGAGAGTTTTCTTCCTGATTGGTGGGTTTGGGATTGTGTGGGATTAACCAGCTGTGATTGGCTTATAAAAAAGGCGGCTCTCATGCCGTCCTATTGGGTGATATGGTTGTCATTATCGCTGGCATAATCGGCCTCTTCGTCCTCGTAGTCGAAGTCGTCGTACACGTCACCGTTGCTGTCGTCCAGCCGTAGCTCCTCCTCCTTGATCCGTGGCTCGTCCCCCTTCAGCCCGGTCATATGGGGGTTCTGGTGGTGGTTGGCGTTGGGCTCGGGGCTGCTGGACATGCTTGAGTGCTCTGAGGGCATCTGGGGTGAGGGCATTCCTGCCATTGACAGGGCACCTGGGTAAACCACGCCTGCTGAGGACAAGGGCAACTGGCTCTGCTGCCTGTAACACACACAGAAGTATTTGAGTAAAGAAAGGCAGCATTCAAGCTACTGAGACAGTTCCCAGTTTTTCCTTAAAGGAATATTTTAACTCATTTTCTTGATACCACTCTCTGTACACTAAATATGAGGCTACAGCTAGCAGACGGAAAAGGAAACAGCTAACCAGCCTGGCTTGGTTCCTCTAAAGCTCATTAATTAACACGTAATATCTGTTCGTTTAAAGCGTACACAAACTGAAGTATAAAAATGTGAAGTTGCAGTTTTATAGAGGGGTTATGAGGCAGACTACTTCTTAGTCGAGCACAGGTTGGAAGACAAATTTTTAGAGCTTATATTATTATATTGTAGTTCGACTGATTTATTAAGACAAAGGAAATTACATATACTAAATCCTAAGGAGATTTCATTAGTAAAACTTCAAACCTGAAATTTAAAGTAAAAGTAAAGTAAAAGAAAAACAACAACAAAATAATTATTAGAAAAATTAAATAAATAACCTGATTTTAAACCTTGTGGTTGGTGTTGATTTACTGAACATTTAAGGCACCAATATAAAAGCAAATATACACTGATGCTCAAAGAGTATCGCACCACTTTTTTTTGCTTTTGATTGAATCTGATATCCATCATGAGATGTGAAACCTGCTCTGACAAAAAATCTAATTCAGTCAAATAAAGTAAAACAACAAATTCTATTTATGTGATAATTAGATAATTGCTAAATCCTAACAAAGAAAAATTTGTTCCCCTCATCAGCTCCCTTACCCCACACTGAAATATTGTCTCATTTCCTGTCTGCGAGACCTCATGATGGCCTTGTACTCGCCGATGCGCAGCTTCTTGCCGTCCACCAGGCAGGTGCGTTTGGGTCGCGGCTTGTACTTGTAGTCTGGGTATTTTTCCAGATGCTGCTTGCTGAGGCGAGCCTGCTCCTCATAATAGGGCTGCTTCTCCAGGTTGGTCATGGCTTTCCAGCGTGAGCCTAGACAGAGACGCATTATATTAATGATCAGTTTCAGTTCTGCACCGTTTCTTCTATGGAAAATGGCTACAAAGACCTTTACACAAGAGTAGAAAAAAAAGAGGTTTATGATCATTATATAGAAGCAAAACGATACAAATCAGTTTGAAGAAGGGATTTAAATTGAGCATGTTCGCCGGCTTTAAGATCAATTACATCGTGTGTGAGGAAGGACTATGTGTGTGGCACGCGTGACCCTGCATCACATGTGCATACCGACACACGTGTGATGGCGTTTAAGCACAACACACATCCACAAACACACACACACAGATAATGGTAGGAGTGTCACCCGGAAAAGGAAAGCGAAATAGAGAAAGCAGGGTTAATGAGGAGAGCGGTGAGGACGACAGGTACTCATCTATACTAATGAGGACTTCACTTAACCTGCCGTCATCTCGCTCAGCTTAGTTTCTGCTCTGAGGTTTATAGTATTAGACCCCTGCATGTGTGTGTGTGTGGGTGGGTGTAATCTTGAGCATGTCTTCCCCTGTGTGTTTCATATCTGGTCTGAATTTGCACTTGACTACTGTATGTTTAATGGGTAAAAGCTGTCAGCACTTGGCTGTTCTCTCTCTGTCTTTCTCTCTGTTCTGAGATCTGTTAGCAATCGAGAGAGAGAGACAGAGAGAGGGTGGGGGGTGGTGGTGAGAGGGAGGGGGGGCTTATTAAAACCAGATTTCCCTGTGTTATAAAACGCTTAGGAGCTCTTTAAAATGTCAGGGCCGATCCCGGCGGTCCGGGGGAAATGTCAGGCGGCCTTGCGCTGCTTGTTTAATGCATAATGAATTATATCATCATTTGTCGGAGCCGTGCTCTCCCCAGCCGTTCATTAACAGCCGCTTACACGATGCCACTGCTTGTAATGAAATCACTGTGTGTGTGTTTCTGTGTGCGCTCGAGAAAGCGGGAAATAGAACCCGCAGTGCAGGCATCTTTCTTTCGCTTGGGTTTGCGTAGCAGTGGGTAAGGTGACAAGGGTGGGGCTTCTGTCACTCAGAACAGGGTGTGTGTATGTGTGCGTGTGTGTGTGTGTCTTACCGAGGATCTTGCTGATGTTGGAGTTGTGCATGTCTGGGAAGGCCTGGAGAATCTTTCTCCTCTCGTCCTTGGCCCAAACCATGAAGGCGTTCATCGGCCTCTTGATGTGCGGCTCGGCGCTGCCGCGACCCCGAGCCTCCCGAAATATTCTGGAGTCTGACACGCTGGGGGAGCCTGAGGGGGAGGAGGGCAAGGTGATGAGAGGCAGACAAAAGCCAAACACACTAAAACCACATGTAGACATGAAGTAGGTGGTTAACAGAAAATCCCCACTACATTATGAAAAAGTGAAGAGAATTATCTTCACATTCTGAGATTTAAAATTTTTTTTAATTTAAACTGAAAGATTAAATATTCTTTAATGGGTTGGGAGAATTATTTTGCCTTTTAAGATTAATAAACCAAAACAACTGACATACAATACATCCTCATAACAGTATATTGTTGATGGAAACTGGAATCAAAATGAAGAATGAAGAATCACATGTTCCAATCCTTCTTCATAGAAATGTGAATTTCTCACCTAAATGACCACAAGCATGTGTGCGTGTGTGTGTGTGTGTGTCCCTACCGTCAGAGTCGCTAATGGAGAAGTCTATCATGGCATGGCTGAACTTGTCCTCCGCCTGCTGCTTCAGCTGTTGACTCAGACTCTCCAAGGCAGCCTTGTCCTAAACAACACAAACAGTTCACAGTTGCAGTCGGTCAGTGAGTGAGTCAGTGAGTGTGAATATATGAATGGGTGAAATCACGGACCCGTAGTGATGAGGAACACTTGTCCAATTTACTTTTACACCCAAACACATCATTCCTATAATTGATTTAAAGTTTTTTGCTGTCAAGTTTTTATATATTATATTATTTATTTTATAGTTTTAGCTAAAAACACTTTAATTTAGCCACAGAAATTATATTAGGTGCCTGTTGGCCTAAATCTTTTCGCAAGAAAATCTGTTCCGAAGATGTATAAACTCCTTCACAGTAGAAACAAATGAATCAATTAATCATCCCTTTTAATCGGAAATAAATCAGCAAATACCCGTTTTTATAAATGGATCTGAACAAACCAGACAAATAACAGCAGCGATTTCAGGAGACAGTTTGTGTTTTCGATGTAAATTTGTGGGAATGTTAATGTCAACATCAAATTGTTAGAGTGCTGTACGCCTGCATGCTTGAACACACATCTGTGTCCATGTTTGCATGTGCAAGAATGCTGATTACATTTAGTCCTGTTTGGATGTTTACTGTTTTGTGTGTATACTGTATACTATGTGTGTGTGCATGAGTATGTGTAGCCACTCCTGGCAGCCACCTGCGAGAGTGGAGTGCGGCGGCTTGCCTCTCTCTTGCAGAGGCCCCCGAGGGTCGACGCATTAGAGAGAGAGAGAACGAGAGAGTGCAGCGCGGACGAGAGCGAGGCCACGCCGCACGGCCCCCTGGGTATTTATTACAACCAATAAAAGGCTGATTTACTGAGCATTTACATGCTTAATGCAAGCAGCCGGCACACTCTGCGCTGGAACCTGACTGTCGACGAACGCACACACTCATACACACACGGCGGTGCACCAACGCCAGCGTTTTACAGTTTAATTATACGATTAGGAGCGGTACCCAAAACACTGTCGTCTTCTAAAACAACCTTCCAAAAAGTGTCCCTCTCCATTTACATGTGACCCTGGCGAGCTGGCTGGCTGGATGGAGGGAGGGCAGAACGATAATGAAATGCATTTTCTCTGTTTTTAGTCCAACAGAGTTTAATTGTTAGAGATAATTTCCCCCCCAGATTGGAATAAATACGACTAAAAAGACAGGAAGGGGAGAGGGAGAACACGAGGCAGAGGCACACTGCCGCCTTTCCTGTTTTTTTGCAAGTCATTTAAAAAGTATTTTATTTTGAATTTATTACGTTTTAATAAATGAACAATAATCTGCCAGTGGGTTGGAACGATTTAGTCATTTTGTATGTAAATCAGAAATATGTTCACACAAATGATGAGCCTCATTCAAAGCTCGTTCAAGGAAAAAAAAAAGGAGAAAAAAAACGAGCAAAAATGTGTTTCACACTTTTAGCTTTTAAGCTTCAATGTGCTGTTACAAAGGTTTTTTTTTTGCTGCGTGTGTGTGTGTGAGACAGAGACAGAGA